CTGTGTGTGTGTGTGTGTGTGTGTGGGGGGGGGGAGGGGGTGGGGGGGGGAGGGGGGGAAGAGGGCTGTCAAATAACCAAAATGTTATTAGAAGGACCAGAATGCAGATGTGAGGTTGATGGGTTGGGGTAAGTTAACTTTTATTATATAAAATTAAGATAACCCTGAACAGCAAAAGCTACCTCTTTGGAGTATATATAGCAGTGGAGAGGACCCAGTATGCTGCTCCATTGTGAGATAGGAAAGAGCCTGTGTTTGCCATTTGGTTAACAGGTTGATTTCTTCTTTCATTTGTGAGCAGGGACTAATGAGAACCAGTGAGGGAAGGGTGTCAGCAAGGTTAGTGTCAGCAACAGATGGTGCTATACATACCACCCAGATGCAAGTCGATGAGGTCACTGTAATTAGACTCTCCCCAATAGTCTACAACAAGGAATTGATGAAGAGAGAGTTACTGGATCTGCTAAAACCCTCCTATGCCCCCCCTACCCAAAGCAATCAATACCAGTATAAGAAACAGAGAGAGAAAGAGGGAGAAGAAAAACTGCTGGAAAGCATGCATCTCTCTAAAAGTGCACTGTGTGCACACATGCTGAGCTATATATATTTCCTGGTGGTGGGAGGAGGTGTTCACTAACCACAGGTGACAGAATTAATAGCCAATATCAATGTGATTCTGTTTATAACTCGAATGATTAGTTAGGACAAAAAGCCTTGAATTTGTTGGGAATTCTGGCCCTGCTAGGACTGAACCTTATCTAAGAAGATTTAAAAAATTCAAGGGCAGATTAGGAGCATCTACTTCTTTATTTACTGAATATTTGAGACCCCAGGCTGAGCTCTGAAGGCAAGACATAAACCATCTAAAAAAGCATGGCAAGGACACCAATCCTTAGGGTTAAAGAGCTTTCTCAAGAATTCACACATGTGACCCCCACTGGTGAGTATACCAAACTCCTTGCAGAACCACTTTTGTGCTAGATGAGAGAAAGGAGGTGCTTTTTTTTCTGAGGTTAGACCCTAACTTCAGCCAGTCTTCTCTCTAAAAGTAGGAAATGAGCTGTGGCTATTTGTCTTAAGGTTCTTCAAGGTTTGCTGGCCATTGGCACTCCTAGCTTTTTAGCTCCATGTGGCAATCCAGTAAGGATGTTATGTAATTCACATGCCTGAAATTCAGAGACTGAACTGTGCCGAGGGACTGGACTTTGGCAGAATCATAAACAAATGCAGAGCACAACAAAGGCCAGCTGCTATTTCTCTCCCTTTCCTCCACATTTTGCAATCTGAATGCTGATCTTAGCAGCTTTTTGTTTCCTAACAGGGTTCCCCCTTAAGAATGGACACACCAAAAAGTAGAATGCAAACCTGGAATGATTTTTCAACTCATGCTCAAGGTTGATCCATTGGTTTAAGTTTGAATCAGGGTTCCATGAACAAAAAGGGGTTTCCAGATGCTCCAAACCAGATATCATGTCAGTCTTAGTCTTGCTCTTGGTTGGAAAGCTCTGAATCTAACCCTGGTGGTCTGGATATTCATGAGCCTTGGGTAAGTTGAGACCAATGGATGGCAGGTCCATATCAGGCCTCTCCTCTGGAAGGCATTTTGGCTAATTAGGCAATCTGACCCCTCAACCAGTGAGACAAAAAAATAAGTTGAACAGATGTATGCCTCCCAGGGAAGGGGCTGATGAGCATTCCTGGAAGACTCCAGATTGTCATGCTATATTATTATAAGATTAGCTGGGAACAACCGAACTAATAAGAGGAGAGCATGCTGAAGCAGCAGAGGAAGAAGCGGCCAGTGTGCACAGATTTGCATCAAAGATGATCTCTGCCAAGTAGAAACAGGGCCACTGGGGCATCTGAAAAAAGGGGGGCCTTGGAAGTGATGTGCTTAAATAAGAAAAGGAAAAAATATATTTGGAAATATATTCTTATGGTAAGAGCTATTATATTCTTAGAATTTCCCAAATGCATCCTGAGAAAATCTCCCAATAGAACTGCTGAAGCCTATCTTTATAAACAGAATAGATGTTTATGTATTTGGATGGAGGTTTCTGGTAAAGCCTTGTTTGGAAGAGTATGGACTAGAATAGTGGTTTTCAAAATGTTCTGTGAAGCCCTAGGGTTTTTCAAGTGCTACTCCAGGGGCCTCCCAAATACCTGATTCACAAATACTTTTACCTTATTTTTAAAAACTTAAATAAATTACTCCATGTTCAAATGTTTGATATGCCAACTTTTAACCCACTGAAGACCATCAACACATTAATTTGTACTATCAGGTAAAATGGCTTTTGTGAAGCCCTCAGGACCAAGTTTCTTCTGCCCTCTTTGTGTAAGTATATGTACGCCCTGTAAATGTGTTAGGGAAAAGGACATTTATTCATTCATTGACATTCTGGCAAGTATATTCTTATGGTGTACAGGTCAGGTTCCTAAGAGAGTTCTTCCTCAGCCTCAAGCAGCTTTTGTCATAATGAGGTCCTCTAGGTAGGTAATACACATAACACAATATCATAGCATAGTTGGGTTTGTGTTCATTGTGTATTTGGAAGCTTTTATCTGAGATATACTCTTTATGAAGAATATGAACTACTATTAGATTTGTCAGTGATTTCCCTGTGAAAACAATTTTTAGTACTCTATTTAAGTGTCAAGCATCTCTATCATTTAAACTGTATATCCTGAGATCTCCATGTGATCTGTTAAAAACTTACCATTTGCAGCAATTACCTCTGTGTGTCAGGATGTTCCCTACACAGGTGTGAACTGGAAGTGGAGGCAGTGCTTTCAAATTTTGTTGATTAACATTTTAAAGTAATTCTTTTTTACTTGAATTTATAATTTGGTTTGTAAAAAGGGTTCTGCTGGTAAAAAAAACAAGTTTGAAAACCAATGACTTAGATAAAATCCTGTTTGTATATGATTATGAAAAGAAAATTATCTAAACAGCTAGAAAGAGGAATTTTGGCAAAATCTTATGCCAGTCTTCAATGGTATAAAGCAGCTTGAACCACGCAGCCTGTTGCAGAAACACTGAAGCACCATCATAGACTCAAATTGCATGGCAGCTGACAGGCACCCAAGTGCTTTACGGGAACCATCAACCCTGGGGTGGCCCACTCAAACCTCCGAATCTGTAAGCAAGGAGGCACACACTATTGAGCTAGTCTGACTACGTGTTGGGAGATCTACCCTTCACTTTCCACTTTGGCAGAAGTAATCAGTGGGGAAGGAATGATGGGCTCTCTCTTGATTTCTTCTGCAAGAAGAGAAAGCAGCGAGGGCAGAGCCCTGCGAGTGGCATATAGCAGGTACAGGGCATTTCCGGTAGGTTTGAACCAACTTCCTCCAGGGGCTCAGACTTAACTGAGGAGGCCAATTCAGAGCATGCAGGACACAGAGCAAAAATAGGATGGTGGATACATTACAGCTTCATTTGGAAGTAAGGGATCCTTTTAAGTGAACCTGAACCTCCATCCCTTGACACAGAGCCAGTTCTTGCCTTGCAATCACACATTCCAGGCGTCTGGCTCATTGACTCCTCAGTGGTTCAAGTATTTGCATTTCATTTGGTGACTTGGGCTTCAAGCAGTAAGTCAAGCATCAGCAAGGCACAAAACCAAGAACATCACATCCTCATCTTTTCCCCCCACCCCATCTTTTCACTTGAAGTTCTTCACTGAGTCAATTGTTCAACTGCAATTTCTAGGCCTTGAAGGGACTGGAAAAACATCTACTTCTATGTCTGACCCCTGACTCCCACCATGTGAACTTCAGTCTTAAAGAACCCTATGAATTCATCTTTAGACCAGGCACATACTGCAAGGTCACCCTATTGGTCAGTTCTGTAGCAAGATCAGATGGCAGCAACTGGTCCAGTTCCTGGCTCTTCTTTAGTTTACAGACAGCCTGCTTACCAGGAGACATACATAGCACAGCCGCTCTGCCACACGAGGATAAGAAAGTAATAAGGTGCTACTGCAAAATTAAGTTACTACCTTTCTTGATCCCCAGCCTCAAAACTTGAATGCTTAACCTGTGCTCTCTACAAGAGATGGAGGTTTCCACATCTGGAGACTTGTGGATTCTTGAAAAAAGCAGACTTCAATCACTCCATGACTGTGTTGGAGCTATATAGTTGGGGCTAGTTCCAATGTTTTTCAGGTCTTGCAACAATAGGGATTCCTGGCCCTTGGGATTCCGGATAACTCCTTGCTTTCTCTGTGCCTAACTGTGCTTAATCCACCCCACACACTCCTTGGGTGAACAGCGGGTATCTCTGCACTACACATTTTCCCCAGGAACGGCAGTCACCAAGCACAATGGTCCTCACAGCTATTTCCCAATGTGTACTTAGTGCTGGCATGCTATAGTCCTCCAAGCCTTCCCACCCTGCCTTGAGTAATCAGACTAGGAAATACAGAGTCTGGGCTCACACTGGGAAATATGTGTGCTCAACCCACAGTAGATGGTGAGTGACTATGAGGCATATGTCCTCACAAACTCTGAGCAGCTTGGGCAGGAAAGGGAGCCTGGATAGCCAAAAACAGAAGGTAGCATGTAGAGAGCAGGCCAGGGGCTCTGCTTGTACAGTTCTATGATGGTTTCTTGTGGTATAGTTCTTCCTTATTCCCAGTTATTTTCTTCTAGATAAAATGATGGGGCGGGATAAGAAGAGGAGGAAAAGAGAAGGTCCGGTGCTTGCCATCAACAGAGGAAGTGCTTGCCATCAACAGACTGAGATTTCATCCCACAGGTAAATGGCAAGCTCTAAGACAGGGTGGAAGAACAGGTGTGGGCCTTGGGGCAGTTACAAACAGAGGTGCTTTTCTTTCCTTTGTTTTATAAGAAGCCCAAATCTGTGATGAAGGGACCCAAAGAAGCTAACTGGAATAGAAGCTGAAGTGATTAAAAAAAAAACTAGCCCTACTATGGGGATGGGGGTAGGGGCTTCCCTTAAGAACAACCTCCTCACAGGACAGCCCAGACAGTACCTGCTTCCCCACGAAGCGCCTTCTCCACAGCAACACCTCTTTCCTCTAGCTGTCGCTGCCTCTCCTCCACCTGCTCCAGCTGCCGCTGGATGATCTGTGGGGAATAAAGCAACAGAAGACCCTCTCATCTCCTAGCCTTCAAGAGGCCAACAATTTGCAAACATACAGAAGGGAAAAAACGAATAAGGTAAAAAATCTGGGCCCTAACTGGTTTGGTTCATTGGATGGAGCTTTGGCCTGCGGACTGAAGGGTCGCAGGTTCGATTCTGGTCAAAGGCATGTGCCTTGGTTTTGGGCACATACCCAGTGGGAAGTGTGCAGGAGGCAGCTGATTGATGTTTCTCTTTTATCTATGTTTCTGACTCTTTATCCCTCTCCCTCCTCTCTGTAGAAAATCAATAAAATATATATTTTTTTAAAATTTTGGAAAGGCTCTAGTTAATGGACATCATGTACAGTGTATGAAGAACATGTCTCCAGGGCCCATCATCAGTCAGCAGAATGTATATGGGGGCACTTCAAGAAATGACCAGCTTCTCTCGGGGAAGTTCGAAGAGAGGAAATATATTCAATTCCTATGAGAAGGAATTAAATACTACAGCCTAGGACTTTTCTGCTTCTTCATTTTTTTGGTATTAATCCTCACTCGAGGATATTTCTTCCATTGCTCTTAGAGAAAGTATAAGAGGGGGAGCAGAGAGAGAGACATTGTTGGTTGCCTCCCACATGCACTCCCCAACCAGAGCAGGGGATTGAACCTGCAACCCAGGTATGTGCCCTTGATCAGATATCAAATCCACAACCCCATGGTGCATGGGTCACACTCTAGTCTCTAAGCCACACTGACCAGGATCTTTCTGATGGTGATATTGTTAAAGCATTATCAGGGGTTCTTGGACACTATTGCAGATACTCTCTCTCTACAAGATTAAAAAGAAAAAAGAAATCGAGAATGGAGCCCACAGCCAGAATCTGTAATGAAAAGTTCCTGTGTGCTACATGGGGACTAACAATGGGCATTCAACCCCCAAAGCAGCAGCAGCCAATGGCATATCAGTGCAGATAATGTGCATATGGAATAATGTGCAAGACAAGGACTAAAAGACTGGTGTTTTGTGTGTGTGTTTTTAAAAAATATATATTTTTATTGCCAAAACCGGTTTGGCTCAGTGGTAGAGCGTCGGTCTGCAGACTGAAAGGTCCCAGGTTCGATTCTGGTCAAGGGCATGTACATTGGTTGCAGGCACAACCCCAGTAGGGGGTGTGCAAGAGGCAGCTGGTCAATGTTTCTCTCTCATCGACGTTTCTAGCTCTTTAGCTCTCTCCTTTCCTCTCTGGAAAAAAATCAATAAAATATATTTAAAAAAAAATATATATATATATTGATTTTCCACAGAGAGGAAGGGAGAGGGATAGAGAGCTAGAAACGCTGATGAGAAACATCAACCAGCTGCCTCCTGCACACCACCTACTGAGGATGTACCCACAACCAATGTAATCTCTATGAATACAAGTAGATATGATTTAATTAAAGACCCTATTATATTTAGGTTTCTTTTTAAGTCTTTGTATATAGAAATTATTTAGTCCTCACCATCCCCAATCTAGAATGATCTATGATCTGTGAGGCCTGCAGACAAAGGCTGAGAACTGGAACACTACTCTGATCTCTAAATCCCAGGCCCATCAGAGGCTGCCAGGTCACAGATTGCCTCAATAAATATTCTTAAATTGAATTAGTTAACTTTAAAATTATCTCACAGTAAGGAATTTAGAAACTCAAAGCTAGGCTCTTCCCTTTCTACCTAAAACTCCACAAAATCGAAGTTTATGTAGTTATATTAAGCCAGGGGTTTGTGGCCTGAGCTTCCGGGGCTGTCCTCTCAGGTAGTGGGACACCCCATCTACTTCTGCTTTGCCTTCCTCATCATGGATAAGGAATAGCTGGTTGGAAACAAGGGTGCTGTGGTGTGGCCCCTCCTGGTTTTACCTGGGCTCGGTGCAGCCGCTTAAGTTCCTCTTGCTTGGCCTGTCTTCGAGCTGCCTTCTGCACACGCCGGGTCAGCTTGGCACTCAGTTCTTCCTCTGTATAAGTTCTTGGCTGGAGAGAACAAGAGATTTCCTCAGTCAGGTGCCTGAGATGTTGGGCACTGGTTGATTAGGACATAGAGAGCACCATTCCAGGCTGCAGAGTGCTTGCAGGGCAAATAGGCAGGCCAGAGGCATGGGAAGACTTCCAGGGTACTTCTTAAATGCCACAGGATACACATCAAGCTCCACAAGTGAGCTTCTTTCCCATTGTGACAGGGACACAGAAGGTTCAGTGGAGTACTGACAGAGAATTAATGCAACAAAAGTACATATGCTTCTTTACTGTTAGTATCACCTGTTTCTCATATAAGAATGTCTGCTCTTTTAAAGACTTTTTTAGGGTAAATATATTGGTAAGATGTTTTCCATGCCTCCTTCTAGGATATATACAGGGAAAGAAAAATTAGAGTACTTTCATTTTTTTGTTTGGTATCAAAAACCACTTTCTTCAGATGAGCAATATTTATAAGATTCGTTTAAGAAGTAAACATTTAAAGTAGCGAAAACAAAGGTGCTTCTATTTTCAGTCTGAAAGAATCCCAAATTGACTAATGGTCTGAAGAAGATACTATGGAGACGAACCTGCTCTGAAAGGAAGGCAGGGAGTGAGCTGTTTCAGCAGTGCCATCAAGATCTGAGAGGCAACCAGCCTAATCCAGTGCAATTCAATGAATGAAACTACCTGAGCAATTTCACCTGCAAATGTGGAAAATGAAGGCACAAGGGAGTGTTGAATAAGCTCTGGGCAATCACTGAGAGGCAAATGCTGAGGGGTTGTTTCTATTCATAACACCTTCTTTCTTGCTTCCAAGGAAAAAAAAAAAAGAGTCTTTTATAGACTTTAAAGGAGTCTTCCAAATTCAACTGAGATGTGTACTCTAGTAATGTTTATTATAAGAAAACAAGGGATAGTGGAGAGCCAATTGAGCAGGTAGTCCTTAACGGTGTCAGTAGTTTTCCAGTGCCCTAAACAAGTCACCTTGCAAATCGGAACCAAGGGCTCGTGAATTCCCCATTCCTGCAGCACTCAGTCCCAAAGGGTAATCCTGTTCCCCAGCTACTCAGATCGACACTACTACATGCACTCCAGCCAACAAAGAGCAGGGTAGGTCACCCTCCTTCTCTGTCATGACACAGCTACAGAAAGTTCTGCTGCTAGTGTATGTGACTGCTCCATGCATGTATGAACAATTAATGGGAGTATGGCTAGACTGGGGACTGCTCCATGGTTAATCATGGACACACATGCAACAATGACCAGCCAAGGGGAACGAGACACTGCCTTTGGTGCATATTATTTTCTGAATGCTAAGCTATGTGGTATATAAATTGACTTTTAAGGGGATAGCAACAAAAAACAAAACAGAATAGTAATAATAATAATAATTAAAAAGAGAATAAGAGATAGAGTAAGATCAGAAGTTTAAAACAAACACAAAGACTAAATTTATTCTTTTTCACTATGTCACATAAGGCTGGTAGGTGAGGAACCTGGGTATAGATTCTTGCAGTTTCACCATAGTGAGTCCCACTCTGACGAAGGCCTGGGTTGGCTTTGCTATCTCCCTTCCTCTCTTCCTCCATCCCTCTCTCACTCTCTCCCTTCCTTTGTGTTTTTAGCCTGACTAGAAATTGGGCTTGCAACTTTTCTGTGCATGGAACGATGCTCAACTAACTGAGGCACATGGGCCAGAGCTGGGCTCACTTTTCTCCTGTGAAGATAGGTTCTTCCTCATGCCTCAAAACTTCCCTTTTTTCTTCTCAATCTCTTCCATGTATAAATTAAACTATTTAAACATATAGTTATAGATGCTATTTCTCATTTAGTAGTTCATTTGCTCATGGAGATTCAGACTACTCCTCCCCACTAAATACTATTGGTGCTGGGATGGGTGACAGATGATGGGGAGTTCCTGTCACCAGAGACACTGACACAGAGCTTGCTGAGTAGCAACCTAATGCTGTCTTTCAAAAGGCTCTCTACTGGCAAGGCTCCTGAACAGAATAAGAGGTGCCCCCTGGGTCACCAAAGAAACCTGAAATAGCAGAAATAACTGATATTTATTAAAAAAAAACACACAACATTTCAGGCAGTAGTTATAACATCTTACTCCAGGAGTCTTGTGCAGAGCTGCTCAGAGCTGAGGTTAATTACCTGGCTTCCTCACCATCCCCATCCCAAGGTTGAGAGGCAGTCGGGAGAGAGGGAGGGAGACCTAGAGAGCCTTAGGATGTATACTTCTGTGGCCTGGCTGCTTCTTCTGAAGTATTGGGGAGCCCACCACTGTGCAGCTGGCATTTCAAGAGCATATTGACCCCAAGAAGAATGAGCTAGCCTCCTAGTGGTCACATTTAAATTTAAGCATGTTGATTCTGCCTCTCATTGACTCTTCTCTCTCACCAACCAGGATTTAAAAAAAGTCATTATTAGAACAAGTAAGAAAAAGAAGACAGATGGGTTCCCCAAGCAGCATATGAAAAGTTCCATAGGAACCACATAACTAGAACCTAAGGAATGCATTCAACATTTGTACCCTGGCTGATGTGGGGTAGTCATTTACTGATTTCTGGAAGGGAGGGAGTACTACCTTGGTAGAGGCAGCAACAGAAACATAAAATCATGATATATCTGTGGTGTGCCGAAAGAGCACATCAGTAACAGAGCACTGCTTTTGCAGTGAACTGGGACTGGGATCATTAGAAAGCAAATGCACATGCTCTCGGCTGGGCCAAAGCACTCAAGAAGAGGACACTTCAGTTGTATTTATATAGTCAGACTGAAGCAAAGGAAAGAGGTAATCTTGAGTTATCTCTTGGTAAGGCTACAAGATAAATAATAAAAAAGTGTATTATCTTAAATTTTCTATATAAATATTTTAAACAAAAATAACTTACTTTTGTTTTTAAAAATGAAAAAAAAAATTCAGGCACTGGTTTCATAGCTGCCTCACTCAGAGGTGGGTCTGTGATGTAAGGGGAACTACTTCCCCACCTTTGCAAGAGGCTCCCTCATGAGTCAATCAAACCCCATTCTCACTTTGTATTCCCCCTTGCTCCCCTCTTTGGGATTCCACCCCTGCTTTGGGATTTGCTTTCCTTTCTTCCACCTCATCAAAGACCAACACTCAACAGAGGACAGGAGTTGAGATTCCCAATGCCTCTGAAGCCCCACTGCTGACCAGGCCTGAGTACCTCTCGCTTGGACTTCTGGGAGACCTTCTCGAGGATGTCATCACTGGAGAGGTCAGAGTCCTCGGAGAAACTCCGCTGGTCCCGCAGCTGCAGCTCTGTGAGGATGGATAGAAGGGGCAGAGTGAAGACTCTGAGCAGTCCATAATACCATGGTGCTTTCCTGATTTCTATACTCACAAGAGTAGCCTGGGGGAATGGGGTGGAGGTTTGGTTTCTTTCAAGTTTGAGTGACTTTTCCCATATTGAGGAGCTAGGAACTTGGATGCTGACATCGGTTCAGGCAGGATGGACCAACACTGAATAGATGGTGCCCAAAGAGACTGCCTGGAACTCCAAGCAGCATTGCCCTCCATGAGGGTGAGCGACTTTAGGAAGTGCATAAACCTCCTGTCTCCCTTACCCAGCTTCAGGCTGTTTTTTAGAATTATCCTATTAAATATGTTCTGTGAACCCCTTGTTCAATTTTTTTTCTCCCTACCCTGTCAGCACAGCTCTAAAGATCCTTGGGGGAGTGGCATGGGGAAGGGACCTTTTGAGAAGAACCAAATGACTGAAGGATGCACACCTTATGCTCTGCCCCAGAAGGGGTTCCTTGGTGCTGATATACCTGCTCTCACTATTGGAGACATCCTGTGCTTGCTAGAGTCCACAGTGGCACCACTGGAAGGGGTGCTGGAACAGGACTTGTTGTCACCCTTCTTCTTCTTGTCCTTCTTATACCCTGAGAAGACTGATTTCCACAAGGACCTGGGCTTGGCAGCTGCTTCCTCCAGGAGATCTGGGCTGTGTTTCTCCAGGGGCTGGCCCTCACCTTTAGATTTTCTCTCCTTGTTTCTATGGGGGGAGAAGAGTGACGATCTCTTTTTGCTCTTCCCGCTAGAGCCCTCGGATGAAGTGACTGAACCATCTGGGGCCCCAGAGTCCAATGTGGGGGAGAATTCTTCACTAGTGGTTTTGTGCTTCAAGGTGGGCTCCTCAGGGCCTTTGTGCAGTGGGTATTTAGAGGATTTAAGGCCAAGGACTTTGCCTTTAGAGGACATTGAGGAGGCTTTGTGGCAGGTACCTCCTGGCGGCCTGGAGGTCTCAGCCCCAATTTCCATCTCCTTCATCCGACTCAGCTGTTTGGCCATGGCATCTCTCAACACCTGGCTCTTTATAGACTTTTCTCTGGCTCGCATGCGTTCTTCAGCCAGCTCCTTGGCTTCTGGAGAGACTATAGGTAGTTCCCTCTTCTGTAGTTGGTCCCTGCTCTCTAGAGTAAGCAACTTGACATTCTCCTTGGCTAGGGGTAGGGGGAAGAGCTTGTCAGAGAGGGGCCAGCAGGAAGGGGGTGTGAAGAACTTCTCCTGCAGACTTGAGTCCTCGGTCTTGTCATCATATGTATCCTCCACGTCATCAGCAAAGGGGATCTCAGCTACACTCTCTACAAATGACTTCCGTACCTCCTCCCAGGGCAGTTGGGCAGGCTCTCGGGGGGCCCGCATAAAGGTAGTAGGTGGGGGGGATGGGATTATGGAGGCCTTGGGCTTGGTTTCCTTCTGCCCATATATCTGATATGGCTTCCTTCTAAGAGTTGCAGGCTCCTCGTCCTGGGGTGGGGGTGGAGGCGGGCTTGAGGGTGGAGTAAGCATGGTAGAGTCTGAGGTATTGAAGCTCTGGCTTCCCAAGGTCTTCATGTTGGAGGAGCTCCCATGAAGGCCCAGCCCCGAACTGTTGGACAGGTCTCTTCGTTCCTCGTGGGAGCTTTTTAGTTCTCTTTCAGATGGGGATTTGGGGGTTGGCAGAGAGGGCTGGTCACTATCTGACTTTGCCAGTCTCCTAGGTAGAGGTTTTAGAAGATGGAGCCCCTCATCCTGAGGAGACTTCTCAACTGAATAGGATTTTAAGGATAATGGCTTAAAGGCAGGTGAGGGGAAGCTATGCTTGGGCCCCTTGCTCCGATCCACGGGTGTGAGCCCAAGGCTGCGGCGAATTTCTGCGCTCTTCATCCAGAACTCGGCCACCAAGTCATTTGGCTTCAGAGCCTCATCCATAGCAAGAGGGCTGCCCAGTCTGTCCTTGGCATCCCCTTGGTTCTTCATGTGGAGTGGGGTTAGAGGGGTGGAAGTTTTCACTGGATCAGGCTGGAAGCATATGGGGGACTTGGTGGGAGATGGAATGGTGGCCTCACAGGAAGGTTTAGGTTGGGAGCAAATGGGGAGCTGTGTGGGGATGATGGTGGAAGTGGCCAATGGGGACAGGCCCTGTGAACGAACTGGAGAGGTATATGTCCTGACTTCCAGCAGAGCTGCTGGCTGGGACTGGATGGGAGAGTGCACAGCTTTCTGATCAGTGGGAACTTCTGCTTTGAACTTTGCTTTGGAAACCAAAAGCTCTGGGAAAAGGTGCTCCTTGGGCAATTTCATATTGGTAGCTTCAGAGGGGAGTGGAATCTGGGCCCCCTACAGAAAAAAAAGATAGATGGAAACTGTTTAGAGGGCAGAGACTTAATAATCAGCAAAGATCTCTTAAGGAGCTTTCTCTCTCAAAGAGCCTGTGGTGCTGAAATAAATTCCTCTTTCCATCCTTAAAGCTATTAATCAAATTGCTCCAGGAGAACCTTTCTCACTTTCTGTAATTTTTAAAACCATTTACTTAATTGAACAGACTCAGTTTTCAGGGTTTGGCTCACCTCAAAAGAATTCTATATTCTAAGTGCATTAGGTGAATGCTGGTCAGAGGACACTAATGAACTCAGCTCCCATTACTCAAGAGCTCCAAGATCTCTGATGTACAAACATAGTGGCCAGCATGGTAAGAAGATTAAAAAAAAATAAAAAAAAAATTTATATATATATATATATATATATATATATATATATATATATATATATAATATTTACAGTCTGTATTATAAACTGTCCTCCCCAGAAAGCTCAAAGATCCAGATATTGCTGCATGTATCCTTATGCCTTGTCCTCCCATCACTTATCTCAGTAAAGCTTCTCCATCTCAGATGTAAAAATCACTAAATTCATCTCGCTTCTTAGAATCTCTAAGACCAGAGCAATCAGACCCAGACTTCAATTTGGACTTCCCTCCTGATTTTTTCTCCAGAAAGCAATTTCTAAAACATATTCCATGGAACATATTATTATAATGTGTTCATATAGCATTCTTTAGTGTGTGGATCACATACTACTGGTAATATGGATAAGTATTTCTAACTTTAAAATAATAGTTCAGCCCAGCCAGTGGTTGAGCTTCGACCTTTGGATCAGGATGCCATGGTTTGATTTCTGGTCAGGGCACATGCCCTGGTTATGGGCTCGATCCCATAGGGGGTGTGCGGGAGGCAGCTGATCAATGATTCTCTCTTAATGTTGATATTTCTATCTTTCTTTTTCTCTCCCTTCCTTTCTGAAATCAAGAAAAATATATTTGAAAAAGTAAAATTAAAATTCATAGCTCATTTTAACAAAAAATTAAGAAATAATGCGACAGCAGAATAGCTATGGAGGAAGACACACGGAGTCTGGGAGAGGCCATCACTGCATGATGGGAGCCTTCAGGACCCTGTCCAACTAGAGGCCTCTGTTACCTGTTAAAAGGAAGCTTTCTATATTAAGCCGCAGTGACCACCAAGCAGCTGTGACCCCAGAACGCTGATGCCAAGTGGCGCGAACACTTGAACTCAAAGGATGCCCCACCACACGGCGAAAAGGAGAGAGAGAACTGCATAACCAGACATCCTAAAAAGAGAATTCATAGGGAGACAAAGAAACAGCCACGCATATGAAAGAAAAGCAGGCATCACCAGGAAAGGAAATAAATGAGTTAGAGGCAAGCAACCTACCAGAGCAAGAATTCAGAGTAATGATCATAAGATGGCTAAAAAGAATGAAAGACAAATTTGACAATATGATAAGAACCAAGAGGAAATGAAGAAGAACCAAGAAGAAATGAAAAATGACATCGCTACTGTAAAGAACTCAATAGAAAGCATCAAGAGTAGACTAGAAGAAGCAGAGGACCGGATCAGTGAGCTAGAAGACAAAATGGAAAAAAATTACCCAATTAGAGCAGCTTCTGTAAAAGAAAATTAAAAAGCAGGAGAGCCTAAGGGAACTTTGGGACAATACAAAACAATATAGAATGATAGGGGTTCCAGAAGGAAAGGAAACTGATGAAGACATGGAAAATGTATTTCAAGAAATAATGACAGAAAACTTTCCTGAGATAGAGAAGAAAAAACCCACAAAAATCCAAGATGCTCGCAGAGTCCAAAGCGAAATGAACCCCAGAAGACCGACACCAAGGCACTTTATAATTAAATTGGCAAACACCAATGACAAAATAAGAATCTTAAAAACAGCCAGAGAGAGACAGAAAGTTACATATAAAGGAACCCCCATCAGATTAGCAACTGATTTCTCCACAGAAACTCATCAGGCTATAAGGGAATGGGATGAAATATATAAAGTCATGCAAAGGAAGGGTCTGAATCCAAGAATACTGTACCCAACAAGGCTATCAATCAAAATTGAAGGTGAAATCAGGAGCTTCACAGACAAAAACATACTAAGGGAATTTATCACCACCAAACCAGCAATGCAATAAATGCTAAAGGGTCTGCTGTAAAAATAAAGAAATAGAAAGTGAAGAAGGAACACAGATATATAGAATAAAAATGGCGTCAAATGAGTAGCTATCAATAATAACTTTAAATGTAAGTGGATTAGATGCTCCAATCAAAAGACATAGGGCAACAGATTGGATAAGAAAACAAGACCCATATATTTATTGTCTACAAGAAACCCACTTCAGAAAAAAAGACGCACACAGACTGAGGGTGAAGGGATGGAAAAAGGTTTTCCAGGCAAATGGAAATGAAAAAAAAGCTGGGGTAGCGATACTTATATCTGACAAATTAGATCTCAGGGTGAAGGACATAACAAAAGATAATGAAGGCCACTTCATAATACTAAAGGGAAATATCCAACAAGAAGAAATAACCCTGGAAAATATATATACACCCAATACAGGAGCACCCAAATACATTTAAAAAAAAAAAACAAACAAAAAAACAAAAAAACAAAAAAACAAAACCTGCTGGAGGATATTAAGGGAGAGATTAATAGCAATACAATCATAGTAGGAGATTTTAATACCCCACTTTCACCTTTGGACAAATCATCTATACAAAAAATCAGCAAAGAAATATCAATCCTAAATGACTCACCAGACCAGATGGAATTAATCAACATCTTCAGAACATTCCACCCCAAAGCCACAGAATATACATTCTTCTCAAGTGCACATGGGTCATTTTTAAAGATAGACCACATGTTGGGACATAGGAAAAGTCTCTTCAAATTCAAGAATATAGAAATCATATCAAGCATCTTCTCAGATCATCATGGCATAAAACTGGAAATTAACTACAATAAAAATAATCCAAAGAAATCAAACACATGGAGATTAAACAGCATGCTATTAAACAAGGACTGGGTTACCAGAGAAATCAAGGAAGAAATTAAAAACATCCTGGAAACAAATGACAATGAAAACACAACTATCCAAAATCTATGGGACACAGCAAAAGCAGTTTTGAGACAGAAGTTCATATCCCTACAAGCCTATTACAAAAAAAAAAAAGAAAAAATGGTAACAAAATTATCTAACTCTACAACTCAAAGAGTTAGAAAAAGAGCAACAAGAAAAGCCCAGTGTAAGCAGAAGGAAGGAAATAATAAAAATCAGAGTGGAGATAAATGACATAGAGACCAAAGAAATAATACATAAGATCAACAAAACCAAGAGCTGGTTCTTTGAAAGGATAAACAAGATTGATGAACCTCTAGCCAGGCTAACCAAGGAACAAAGAGAGAGGACTCAAATAAACAAAATCAGAAATGAAAGAGGTGAAATAACAACAGACCCCGCTGAAATACAAAGTATTGTTACAAAATACAACGAACAACTCTATACCAACAAACTGAACAATCTGGAGGAAATGGACATATTCCTAGAAAAATACAACCTTCCAAATCTCAATCAGGAAGAGTCTAAAAATCTCAATAGACCAGTGATTTGGGAAGAAATTGAAACAGTCATCAAAAAGCTTCCAGCAAACAAAAGCCCAGGGCCAGATGGCTTCACAGGAGAGTTTTACCAAACATTCAAGGAAGAACTAAAACATATCCTCCTCAGACTATTCCAAAAAATTCAGGAAGGAGGAACACTTCCAAAATCCTTCTATGAAGCCAACATCACCCTAATACCAAAACCAGATAAAGACAACTCAATGAAAGAGAATTATAGGCCAGTATCCCTCATGAACATAGATGCCAAAATCCTCAACAAAATTCTAGCAAATAGGCTCCAGCAGAACATCAGAAAGATCATACACCATGACCAAGTAGTATTTATTCCAGGAATGAAGGATGGTACAATAGCCGCAAATCAATAAATGTTATACATCACATAAACAAATTGGAAGATAAAAATCATATAGTCATATCAATTGATGCAGAAAAAGCATTTGATAAAATCCAACACCCTTTCTTGATAAAAACTCTCAAAAAGGTGGGAGTACAAGGATCATACTTCAACATAATAAAAGCTATATATGATAAACCCACAGCCAACATCATACTCAATGGACAAAAACTAAAACCATTCCCTCTAAGAACAGGAACAAGACAGGGATGCCCACTCTCGCCACTCCTGTTTGACATAGTACTGGAGGTACTAGCCATTGCAAGAAGAGGAAATAAAAGGCATCCAAACTGGAAAAGAAGTAGTAAAGTTACCCTTATTTGCAGATGACATGATATTGTACATAAAAACCCCAAAAGACTCCATTAAAAAACTAATTGACTTAATAAATGAATTTGGCAATGTAGCAGGATACAAAATTAACGTCAAGAAATCCATAGCATTTCTATACACCAACAGTGAAATTACAGAAACAGAGACTAAAAAAGCAATTCCATTTACCATCGCACCAAAAAAATTAAGATACTTAGGAATAAATTTAACTAAGGAAGTAAAGGATCTATTTGTGGAAAACTACACAACACTGAAAAAAGAGATAGAGGAAGATGTAGACAGATGGAAGAACATGCCATGTTCATGGATTGGTAGAATCAACATCATCAAAATGTCCATACTTCCTAAAGCAATCCACATGTTCAATGCAGTCCCCATTAAAATACCAACGACATATTTCAATGACCTAGAAAGAACTCTCCAAAAGTTCATTTGGAACAATAAAAGACCCCGAATAGCCACAGCAATCCTGAGAAAGAAGAGTAAAGTAGGAGAGATCTCAATACCAGACTTCAAGCTGTATTACAAAGCCATTGTTCTCAAAACAGCCTGGTACTGGCACAAGAACAGACATATAGATCAATGGAATCAAATCGAGAATCCAGAATCACCCCAAATCACTATGCTCAATTAATATTTGACAAAGGAGGCACGAATATATAATGGAACCAAGACAGTCTCTTCAATAAATGTGTTGGGAAAATTGGACAGATACATGCATATAAGTACAACTAATGGACACAAAACTCTGGGGAGGGGAGGTATGTATGGGAGGGGGGAGCAATGTTAAATTATGTACACAAATAATAAATGAATAAAAAAATGGGGGTTGGGAAAAGGACCTATATGCAGAAAACTACACGACTCTGAAATAAGAGATAGACGAAGATGTAAACACATGGAAGAACATACCATGTTCATGGACTGGTAGAATCAACACCATTAAAATGTCCATATATCCCAAAGCAATCTATAGGTTCAATGCACTCTCTATTAAAATACCAACGGCATATTTCACTGACCTAGAAAGAACTCTCCAAAAGTTCATTTGGAACAATAAAAGACCCCGAATAGCCACAGCAATCCTGAGAAAGAAGAGTAAAGTAAGAGGGATCTCAATACCAGACTTCAAGCTGTATTACAAAGCCACTGTTCTCAAAACAGCCTCGGACTGGCACAAGAACAGACATATAGATCAATGGAATCAAATTGAGAACCCAGATATCAACCCAAATCACTATGCTCAATTAATATTTGACAAAAGAGGCACGAATATACAATGAAGTCAAGACAGTCTCCTATAAACGGTGTTGGGAAAATTGGACAGATACATGCAAAAGAATGAAACTAGATCACCAACTTACACCATTCACAAAAATAAACTCAAAATGGATACAGGATTTAAACATCAGACGGGAAACCATAAAAATACTAGAAGCATCCACAGGCAGCAAAATCTCAGACATATGCCAAAAGAACTTCTTCACTGATACTGCCCCTAGGGCAATGGAAGCTAAAGAGAAAATAAACAAATGGGTCTACATCAAAATAAAAAGCTTTTTTACAGCAATGGAAACCATCTACTAAACAACAAAAAAGCCCACTGTGTGGGAGAACATATTTGCAAATGTTACCACTGATAAAGGTTTAATCTCCAACATCTACAAACAGCTTATAGAACTAAATAAAAGGAAAATGAATGATCCAATTAAAAAATGGGCAATGGACCTAAATAGAATATTTTCAAAAGAAGACAGAAGGAAAACCAAGAGGCACATGAAAACATGCTCAAAGTCACTAATTATCTGAGAGATGCAAATCAAAACAACAATGTGGTACCATCTCACACCTGTCAGAATGGCCAACATCAACAAATTAACAAATGACAAGTGTTGGCGAGGTTGCGGAGAAAAAGGAACTTTCGTGCACTACTGGTGGGAATGCAGACTGGTACAACCACTGTGGAGAACAGTGTGGAGTTTCCTCAAAAAACTGAAAATGGAACTCCTATTTGACCCAGTAATCCCACTCCTAGGAATATACCCCAAGAAACTAGAAACACCAATCAGAAAGGATATATGCACCCCTATGTTCATAGCAGCACAATCTACAATAGCTAGGATCTGGAAACAGCCTAGGTGCCCGAAAGCAGATGACTGGATCAAAAAACCATGGTACATCTACACAATGGAATACTATGCTGCCATAAAAAAGAAGACATTCTCATCATTTGCAGCAACCTGGATGGAATTGGAGAACATCATGCTGAGTGAAATCAGCCAGTCAATGAAAGAGAAACACCACATGACCTCACTCATTTATGGATGATAAAGAACATTATAAACTGAAGAACCAAAAGATAGATATAGAGACAGTAAAGCAACAAGCAGACTGTCAAATTACAGCGGGGAGAGGAGGGAGATCTGGGGGAGATAAGAGATCAACCGAAGGACTTGTCTACATGCATATAAGTACAACCAATGGACACAAAACTCTGGGGAGGGGGGTATGTATGGGGGGGGAAAGGTAAGATATGTACACAGATAATAATTTAATAATAATAAAAAAAAGAATGTCAGGGGGGAAAAAAAGAAATAATGCATCTGTAATATTGAACCAATAATTCCACAAATATTCTTTTTCCCCTCACAAATATTCTTGTTTTAATTTAAAAATAAATTTATTTTTGAAATGGTATGATATATGGACAAAACAAAGAATGATGCTATAATAGGATGACCCAGGTTTGGAGTTGGTGCAGAGTAGGATGAGGGAGATGCTGGCTTGTCCCCATAGGTGAGAATTGAGCTGGAACCCCACTTAGCACAAGAAGCCGAAAAAATGGGGCTCCACTCTTACCTCTCCCACGGGGCTGCGGGCAGAGGAGAATAGAACAGCTTGTTCCGACGGGGACCAGGTAGGACTGGAGTCTTGGGAGGGACCTAAAAAGAAGAGACACAGGATTGAGAAGAGGAAAAGCTTCCATTCCTTTTGCTAGCCAGCTCTGCAGTGGGGTTGGACCATTGGTTGGCCACCTGCAGAGATGGAAAGAAGAAAGAAGGGAATGTGCTTCCTCAGGGCGTCCCGTATGCAGCCTCTGCTTGTGTCATGTGTATGATCTGAGACAAAAAGATTTGAGCTGTACCTGCTACCCTTTCATGGCTCCAAATAACACACAGAAAGGGGCTGTTTGTAAAGGCACATGCAGGGCCCATGTGTAGGGGCAGGAGGCCATTATCTGAGGTTGGTATGATGCATGCCCGCTCTGCTTCATGACCTGTGCCTGTGGTGCCACAAGTCCTCAAGTGGCTCTCAGCAGGTATTCTGGGAGTAGCTCATCCTGTGACAATAGACTTACCTCTCTTGCTATGCTGTAGAGTGGCAGGGGGTCGTTCGTCCTGGTTTTCTGAGATGTTCAGCTCCAGCTCTGCTTCCACTGCCTCTTGGTGCTGCCTGCAAAACTCTATTTCAGCATCTGATGGGATGTCGTCAGACCAGTGCTGATCTGGCAGAGGAAAAGGAGAATTGGGAACTTGAGTGAGGCCTGCCTTTTTTCAGTCTCCTGCCTTCCTTGGAGAACAGCATGACGACTGTAGCCTAGACCAGACTGTGTTCCCCAGTGGGGCCCTGCTTGCCGGTCCACACCCAGTTTCTTATAATCAGCCAAAAGTACATCCTCTGTAACATAGTACTCCACTATCTTCTGAAATATAGCCAGATGACACATGATGGGCCATGACAGAAAGCAGAACCGGGAGCATGCTTGTGGAGGGCAGGCCTTGCTTGCTGGGCCCACCACCCACTTGCAATTCTCTCCTGTTAGCACAGCCCAGCCCTGCCACTCTACCACCACAGCTGAGGCAGTGCTCCCTTCACTATCTTACCAGGACTGTTCATCTCATTTTCTCCAGCCTAATTCTTTGCCCTTCTTTCCCAACCAACCAGGCTATAATTCTTAAAATACTATCTCCTTATATCTAGCTTTCAGAGGGCATTTACTGGATTAAAGTCTGTATAAAGCCCGAAATCTGCTCAGTTTCTCAACCACAACTTAATGATTGCAGGCGATGTTGAATGTTGGCTTATGGGAGAGTGAAATATTCAAGTTAGTGACTGAAAATGGAACAAACCAGAAGATCTATCTGCTGCCTCCCTTGAGCTCCCTGCTTTTCGATTAATGTGTATTGTTTTTATCTTTCTGGAGTTCAAAGCACTGTGGCGTGTCCTGAAGTGAGGAACAGGGTATTCACCATGGTGGAAAGGGGAGGCTCTGGGGTCCCCCATACCATCATCCAGCTCAGCACCAGTGTCACCCGTGTCCCCATTCTCTGCTGCCTCCCCTTCTATTTCTGCCGGCTCGGAATCCACATCTTCCTCCAGGCCATCCTCATCAAATGGGACTGTAAAGCAGAAACAGTCAAAGGAAGAAAAGGAAAGACAGATAGGGAGACCGCCTTTGCAGGTGGGAAAGCAGCAGTGCTTCTTCCCAGGCTGTGTTGTGAAGACCACTAGGAGAAGAAGCAGGACAAATTCTGGCAGAAGTGGCAGATTCGCTTGGGATAATTTATAAATACTTTTCTAAAGCATAATAGGAAGAGATAAGGGGATATGTAAAGTTCATTTTCTGGATTAGGATTAGTCCTTTAGTGCTACAAAATGCAGCAAAGTACTAATCAAATTCATCTCCTGAGGAACCAGCCCCTAAAACACACACACACACACACACACACACACACACACACACACACACACACACACAGCTGTTTCAACCATCTGGACACTTAGAACTTACACTAACAGTCTGAAGAAAAAGCAATTAAGAAAGTAACGAGCATTGCTTTAAGGGATGCTGTGACATGCCAGTGTTATCCAAGACTAACAGTACTCACTTGTCAGGAGTCCTAATGGCTTCTTCTAGTGCTCGAAGCATAGCAACCCACAAATCATTGTTTCTATTTTATTTTAATTAAAAAACTTTATTATTGAAAATATTACATATGTCTCCTCCTCCCTCCCCCCTCCATCAACCTCTTTAGTCCACTCCTGGTGCCTGCCCCAGGCCCTCACTACCCCACTGCCTGCGCCCATGGGTTATGCATATATGCATACAAGATCTTTGGTTGATTACCTCCCATCTACACACTCTCTCCCACTTTCCCTCCGAAATTCTGTATACTGTTCCATGCTTCCTTGCCTCTGGGTCCACTCCATTCATCAGTTTATTTTGTTACTTAGATTCCACATATAAGTGAGATCATGTGATACTTGTCTTTCTTTGCATGACTTACTTCACTTAATGTGATACTCTCCAGGTCCTTTCATCCTCTCTCAAAGGGTAAGAGATCCCTCTTTTTACTGCTACATGGTATTCCATTGTAGAAATGTACCAGAGCTTTTTCATCCACTTATTTACTCATAGGCACTTGGGCTGTTTCCAGATCTTAGCTATTGTAAATTGTGCTCCTCCGAACACAGGAATGCAAACATTCTTTCAGGTTTCTTAGGCTACATTCCAAGAAGTGGAATAACTGGGTCAAATGGTAGTTCTGTATTTAATTTTTTGAGGAAACTCCATACTGTTTTCCATAAAGGCTGCACCAATCAGTATTACCACCAGCAGTGTGCTAGGGTTTCCTCGCCAGCACTTGTCATTTATTGATAGCAGACATTCTGACAGGTGACAGGTGTAACGTGATATACCTCATTGTTGTTTTAATTATTATCTCTCAGATAACTAGTGACTTTGAGCATTTTTTTTCATGTCTCTTGGCCCATGTGTGTCCTCTTTGGAGAAGTTTCTATTTAGGTCCCTTGCTTATTTTTTAATTGGATTGTTTTGTCTTCCTTTTGTTAAGTTGTATAACTCCTTTGTATATCGATAGTTTGGATATTAATCTTTATCAGATGTATCATTGCCAAATATATTCTCCCATACAGTGGGCTCCCTTTTCATTTTGTTGATGGTTTCTTTTGCTGTGCAGAATCTTTTTATTTTGATGTAGTCCCATTTATTTTCTCAGTTTTCTTTGCCCTAGGAGATGTATCTGTCAACAGATTGCCAAGAGAGGTGTCTGAGATTTTGTTTCTTCTAGGATATTTATCGTTTCCTGAGTTACATTTAGGTCTTTTATTCATTTTGAGTTTATTCCTGTGTATGGTGTAAATTGGTGGTTTAGCTTCATTTTTTTTTTTTCATGTTTCTGTCCAATTTTCACAACACCATTTATTAAAAAGACTGTCTTGATTCCGTTTGTCAAATTAATTGAACATAATGGTTCAGGCTGATTTCTGGAGTTCTCTGTTTTGTTCCATTGATCTACATGCATGTTCTTGTGCCAGTATCAGGCTGTTTTGATTATGGAGATTTTGCAGTATAACTTGATATCTGGTATTGTGATTCCTCCAAATTTTTTCTTCTTTCTTAAGATTGCTACAGCTATTTGGAGTCTTTTTTTAAAAAAAATAAATTTTTATTGTTCATATTATTACAAATGTTCCTTCCCCCCCTCCATTGCTCTCCTCCACCAGGTTCCCACCCCACCCTCTGCCCTTGCCCCACCCCCCATTGTCCTCATCCATAGGTGCACAGTTTATGTTCAGTCTCTTCCCACATCCCCCTGTCCCCTTTTCCCCAAGAATCGTCAATTCACTTCCCTTCCATACCTCTGATTCTATTATATTTAACAGTTAATATTGTTCATCAGATTTTTTTTTAATTCCCTTAGTTTTTAGATTCACTTGTTGATAGTTACGTATTTGTTGTTCATAATTTTTATCTTTATTTACTTTCTCTTCTGAAAGAACCCCCTTCAGCAATTCATATAATTCTGGTTTGGTGTTGATGAACTCCTTTAGCTTTTTTTTTTATTTATTAGTGAAGCTCTTTATCTGACCTTCAATTCTGAGTGATAGCTTTGCTGGATAGATTATCTTTGGCTGTAGGTTCTTACTTTTCATCACCTTGAATATTTCTTGCCATTCCCGTCTGGCCTGCATGGTTTCTGTTGAGAAATCAGCTGACAATCGTATAGGTGCTCCTTTATAGGTAACTACCTGCTTTGCTCTTGCTGCTTTTAATATTCTCTCTTTGTCTTTTGCTCTTGGAATTTTAATTATGATTTGTCTTGGTGTGGTCCTCTTTGGATTCCTTTTGTTTGGGGTTCTGTGTGCTTCCTGGACTTGTAAGTCTAATTCTTTCACCAGGTGGGGGAAGTTTTCTGTCACTATTTCTTTCTGTATGTTTTCGATATCTTGCTCTCTCTCATCTTCTGGGACCCCCATAATTCTGATGTTGGTTCGCTTGAAATTGTCCCGGAGGTTTCTTACATTATCTTCAATTTTCTGGATTCTCTTGCCTTCTAGCTTCTGTGGAGGAGTGTCTTCTGGCTCTTTATGTTCCAACTCTTTGACTTGATTCTTTCAACCTTCCATTCTGTTTTTAGGACTCTGTATAATATTTTTTATTTCAGACAATGTATTCTTTATTTCTTGTTGATCCCTTATCATTTCTTATTGATCCCTTATCATTTCTTGTTGATTCCTTATTAATTCTAGTTGATCCCTTTTCATATCCTCATAGGTCTTATCCATCTTTTCTAGGAAATTCTTGAAAAACCTTATAAACGTAGATTTGAACTCTATATCCAGTTGCTTTTTGTCCTCCATTTCTTTTGTTTGTGATCTATTTCGTTTTGGCATTTTCGCAGTTTTCCTGAATTGGTAGCCTTAAAAGTATTTGTGTTCTCCTTGGATGGGGCGGGGTTTCAGGGTGGAGCCTGCAGCTTTGGCTTCCATCAGCCCTGCCCTATGCGGCTTCCTGGGTCTCAGGGTCCTTCAGTACTAGTTGCAAGCGCCTCTGAGAGAAAGGTGCCCTCGATTTCGCCTGCTGCCAAACAGTCTATGCTCTCCTCCAATGAGCCCGGTATTGGAGTTCAGTTCAGTTGGAAGTGGAGTTGGAGGTGGCATTCAGAGCAGTCCGGAGCCCCTGACTCCTTCCAAACAGGGCAATCCCACGGCACAGCCAACTGTCCCTTCTCTGTGGACAATGTGTCGCCATTGGGACCTCCTTTCTCCGCTTCCCCTGGTTCCGCCTCGCAGCCCAGCTCCCTCTGTGTGAGCCTGGGTCCCTGGGGTCTGGCCTAGAACTGTGGTTCAGAGCAGTCGGAACTGAGGCCCAGCACAGTCGGAGCTTTTATCTCCTTCCCGCTAGGGAACGCCAGCCAGGCACTCAGCCTCCCTCCTCTCTGGCTCCGTCCTCTCCGCACACACCGCGTGTCTCCGTACCTTAGGCTTTTACAGCTCCTCCGCGCTTCCTTCTGGTTTTCTCCTTGCTTCTTGTTGTAGAATTTCCAGTCAGTCGACTTTCCTGTAGTTCTGGGTAATGTCCATTTTATATTTTAGTTGTATTTTATTGAAATTGTTGTGTGCGGCTGCAGCTAGGTGTTTTCCTGTCAGCCATCTTGGAACAACCCTCTATTTGGAGTCTTTTTTTGTTCCATATACATTTTTGGAGTATTTGTTATAGATCTGTAAAATATGCTGTTGTTATTTTAGTAGGGATTGCATTGAATATGTAAACTGCTTTGGGTCGTATGGACATTTTAATGATGTTGATTCTACCAATCCTAGAACACAGAATATTCTTCCACTTGTTTATATCTTCTATCTCTCTTTTTAGTGTCCTATAGTTTTCTAAGTACAAATCTTTTACCTCTGTGGTTAAATTTATTCCTAAGTATCTTTCTTTATTTTATTGCAGTGATAAATGGGATTTTTTTTTTTTCAGTTTTGCTTTCTGAGAATTCATTATCTATCCTAATATATAAAAAGCCAGGGGCTGTCACAACCAAAACAACCAGACAGACAACCAAACAGCAGGCTATGTGGGGAGATAAGGCCAATAGGGGAGTAACTGAGGGACGACCAAATGACTGAACAGCAGGTTGTGTGAATCTGGCCAATAGGGGGAGAGGCAGTTGGGGGCAACCAGGCCAGCATGGGGGCAGTTGGGGCAACTAGGCTGGCAGGAGGAGCAGTTGGGAGCGACCAGGCTGTCAGGGTGGAGTGAGGGTGCAGAGAGGGGAAACCAGGTCGGCAGGAGGAGCAGTTAGGGCTAACCAGGCCAGCAGAGGAGAGCAGTTGGGGGTGACCATGCCTGTAGGGGGGACAGTAAGGGGTGACCAAGCCAGGAGGGGGGGCAGTTGAGGAGACCAGGCCAGCAGGGGAGAGCACTTGGGGGCACCTGGCCGGCAGGGGAGGGCTGTTAGAGGCAACCAGGCTGGCAGGAGAGGGCAATTGGGGGCAATTGGGTTTGCAGGGGAGCAGTTAGGCATTGATCAGGCTGGCAGGGGAATGGTTAAGGGGTGATCAGGCTGGCAAGCAGCAGTGGTTATGGGCAATC